CAAAATGATGTAAAAATAAACTTTTGTAAAAAAAAAAAGGGTATCAAAATAGAAAGAAGCAAAAGTCTCTGTTTGATAGGACACAGTCTATATACAGAAAACCCTAATGATTACACCAAAAAGACTGTTAGAACTTATAAATGAATTCAATAAAACTTTCAGGATAAAAAAAGCTTCACATACAAAAATCAATACAGTATACATAAATGAAAACATCTGAAAAAGGAATAAGGAAAAAAAATCCCAGATACTACAGAACCAAAACAATAAAATACAGCCAATTACATACCTAGTCAAAAAAAATTTTTTTGAGAAAAAGTTTAACCAGTGAGGAAAAGAAAATGTATACTGAAAACTGTAAGATAATGATGAAAAACACAAATGGAAAGATACCCATGTATGAGAACAAATAATATTCTGAAATATACATATCATCTACAATCATCTATAATTCAATGTTAACTCTACCAAAATTCCAATAGCATATTTCACAGAAATAGAAAAATTAAGTCTAAAATTCATACAAAACACAAAGACCACAACAGCCAAAGAAATCACCAGAAAAGTCCTAAGGATTAAGTCTCAGTGCTATCACCTCTAAGGCCTGAATTTGATACCCAGCCAGGGAGTTAACCTACATGGTTCAGCAGACCTCTCCCAAATTGCCTGCTGCTCCTCTTAGCAGTGTATTTCAGTTAATCTGTGCATTCTGCTTCATACTCTGTCTCTGATGACTCCTCTCACAAACCACACTCCCCACACCCCCACACCCCAGGCACCTCTGGCCTACTCATAGTTCTTCTGTGAAAAAATGAAATTAAAAAGAAAAATCATCAGAAAAAATAAAGCTGGAGGTACCATACTTCCTAACTTCAAACTAAACTTTCTCCAAAGAAGACACTGTAAAGCTATAGTAGCCAAGAGTATAGAATTAACATAAAAATAGATACATAGCCCAATGTAGCCCAATTAAGGGCCCAAAAATAGACGGTACAACAGCAACTAATATTTGACAAGGGAGCAAAGAATAATCAATAGAGAAAAAAAAATCTTTCAATAGAAGATGGTAGGAAATATTCACAGAAGAATAAAACTGGATATCTACCTTATTGCACTCACAAAAATTAACTCAAAATGGATTAAATATTTCAATGTAAGACTTGAAAACATAAAACTCCTATAAGAAAATACAGAAGAAGGTCCTTGACACTGTCCTTGGAAGTGATTTTTTTTCCAAAAGTACAAGCAACAAAAGCAAAAAAAAAAAACCTGGAAGTCCTGTACAGTAAAAAATACAACTAACCATAGTGATGAGTCAACCTACAGAAAGGAAGAAAATATTAGGAAACCATTTATCAGACAAGTGGTTAATACGAAAACCTAAAAGAAACTCATACATCTCAATAGCAAAAGAATAACCAAATCCAATTAAAATTAAACTGATCATACAAGGGAGTCACTGGAGTGGGAGTGAGGAAAAGGAAGGTATGTGAGAAAACATTTGTACTATAGTAGAGAACGATGGATGCACTGGTGGTGGGAGAGGTACTGTGACCACGTCTGAGGGGAGAAAGTTGACATCACCAAAATAAAGTGAAACAATGCTACTTTATTTAAAAAATATGAAAGAGGAGCTGAATAGAAATTTTTTCCAAAGATATGAACTATCATCTCACAACTGTTAAAATGACTATATAGACAAGACTAAGTGTTGAAGATGATGTGGAGCAAAGGGAACCCTTGTGCATTGTAGGTATAGAAATGTAAATTGCCAGAACTGGTATGAAAAACAGTACAGACAGTTCTAAGAAAATAAGAACTACCATATGATCCAGCAACCCTCCTTGTATGTATATTCCAAAGGGAAATGCATGTCTACTACAACAGTATTCACAATAGGCAACATATGAATCATTCTCTAAGAGTCCATCAACATATAAAGAAAATGAGGTTTTACAGGTCTGTGGTAGGATATTACTTAGTCACAAAAAAGGAAATCTTACCATTTCCAACATCATAAATTACTTTACCAGTAAATTCTGGTAATCTAATAAACAACACAATGACTATAATTATACACTGTGTTATATGCTAAGAGAAAACCTAAATGTTCTCACTACCTAAAAAATATATGAGAGATGACAAATCTATTAATCTTATATGATAATTATTTCACAAAATGTTTATCAAACTATGACACTGTACACCACATACTTACACAGTATCATATACCAATTATATCTCAATAAAGCTGGGGGGAGGAGGGTGAAATACTGAACATTTTCAAATGCTGCTAACTGATCAAATAGTAGATTTGCTGAAACAAGAACAGTTTAAAGAATATATTTATTTGTGTATAGAAGAACTGGGGTATAGGCCAGATGTACAGGAGTGGAGTATTAAAGGATTCATTAGAGAGAGTGGGGAGCAGAACGGGCAGAGCTACTGAAATAACACTGCTGAGGTGAGCAGCAGGAGAGACCGGGAGGTCTGATGCACCATATGTGGCCAGGGATCAAACTCAAAATGTAGTGGTGATAATCAGGCCTGAAACATTAAACCCTAGGCCATCAGGGAGGCCCAAAACAAGAACAACTTTTATTAGAAGTGGTCAAAGAACTCAAGGTGACGATGAGAGTAAGCACAGATAAATCTTTCTAGGGATTTTGTTGTAAAGGGAAGCAGAGAAATTTGACAAGTGAATGGGGACATAGGTTCAAGGAAAGGTTTTCTTCGCACTGAAATAATATGCTATGTATTTAAAATAAATGATTCAGGGTGATTTAAAACTGTGTGAGAAAGAAAGGTTGATCAGTACCAAAGCAAAGTTCTTAAACGGAGATGTGATTCAAAGGACAGAGGTCAAGTGGAAGAGTTGGTCTCAAATAAGGGCAAGGGCAAATCAAACTTTATAAAATAACAGAAAGCAATACTGTTGGCTACAATGGTGAGAAAATGTAGTAATCTTTTGATTATTTTTATTTTGTTAATGAGCTGAGAATAAGGCAGGAAAGAGCACTGGAAACTTAACAGAAAATGTGAAAGTAATTTGGAAGATTGATAAAGTAATTTTATTACGTAAGTGCAGTAGAATTGATCACAGGGCAGCTCTGTGATCAGAAAACTGGGGTTATTGGGCCACCCTGGTGGCATAGAGGTTAAAGTCTCAATTATCAAGCTATCACCAGCCACTATGGCCTGAGTTCCATCCCCGGCTAAGGAGTTAACCCATGTGGCACAGGAGAACTCTCCTTGTTTCACCTGCTGCTCCCCTTAGCAGTATTATTTCAATAGATTCGCCTGTTATACTCCCCACTCTGTCTCCAGTGAATCCACTCACCACCACCATTCCCCCTACCTTGACACCTCTAGCCTATCCCCCAGCTCTTGTGTGCATAAATATCTTTAAAAAAAAAAAAAGAAAAGAAAGAAAGAAAACTGCAGTTATAAGTTTAGAATAAGGTCAGTACTACTATATTCTAGAGAAAATCGTTATCCTGTATCCTCTTTTCCAAGTCAAGTACCAGTATATCCTTGACAACCCTCCTCAGATATGGTTTCTTGAATTCTTGTATACCTCAGTCACCTTTTTTTCTGATTCTTCTATAAATCTATTATTATTTGTTTGAAAGTGGATGCCAACAAGAGAAGACCCTTTTCCATGTGCTTAGAGCAGGAAACAATGGACTATTATCTTTGGTATTCTGGACACTATTACTGCATAATTATGCACATGAGCTCAATGCCAGAAATGGCTAAAATTAAGTTCTCATCAAAAGATTAACTTCCTTCCATGGCACTAGAATAGCTTATAGCAAATTTTTCCTCTTTAGAGGATTTATTATTTGCAGCTTATTTAGATTTCTTTCAGCTATTTACTATGGCTTACATTTGTTTCTAGTCTCCCCAGCTGGAATGTCAGCACTATAAGAGTTACTAACATTCATCTTTTCATTCTTAAAATAAAAGCTATTTCATACATACTTGGTGGATCTGCATTTTCTTCTTCAGGGGTATCTGAAGTTGACAACAGCTATGAAATAGAAGAAAGGTAGTAAAATCAGCAACCTCAGCAGGGCAACATTAAAGTAAGTTATGTACATCCTCTGGAAAACTAAGTTGCAGACTTCACTTTTCATTGTTTTATCTTGACATAAAAATTTCTTTGAACTTCACCTACTTCTAAAACTAAAATTCAAGCATTTCCTTAATATCAAAAAGGTAGAAGAAAATACTAAGGGCTTTTCATTTCATTAAGTTGTCATGTTCCAAACTCCTAAAAAGGTATTTTTGTTTGATTTTCTGGAAAAGATACTTGTCTAACCTCACCACACACTTGCACAGTGACAGTGGGGTGATTTTTCAAAACTCCACAAACAAAAATCTTGTCTGAAAGCTCTGAACAAAGAAAGGTAGTTATAAAAATCAAAAAGAAAGTTATCATTAGTATGCAGTAAAAAGAAAGCAAATATAAATATCACTTCCCACAATACTGTTTGTGATTATCATTTAGGAGACTTCAATGTTGCCAAGAATAAAAATATATTTACCTGTTCAAGTAAATGAGGATATCTAGCCTGAATCTCATCAACAAACTCCTGTCCTTTCATTCGTATTAAGAATTCACACCTGAAATAGCCAAAGAAAAAACTTTTAAGCCAATAATGTAAAGAAAAATAACTTTTAAACTCTGTACCCCATGGTATAAACATTTTACAGCACAAACATACATGCATATCAAACAGAAAAAAATCTCTCACAAAATAAGCTCAGTCTTGGTATGTGTTGATGCATTTGTACATTTTCCATATAATCCCATTAACACAATAACAAAAGAGCTTGGACCTATAAAAGAACAAAAACTGAGACTTGAAAAATGTACTAGGTATATCCTTTTGGGATGTAACATTATCAGAAACAGTAATTCAACATTCCCAAAATGGATCTTTCACAATAACCATTCATCTTTCTTCACTGTCCTTTCCTCTATTATATTTGAAGTGTAAAATCTCCCTTTAAAAAATACAGAATCAAGTATTTCCACTATATATATGTGAAGTGTTCCTCAAGCAACTGTTTGCAAACTAGTAAGTCTTCAAAAAGGTGTTCCACAAAATTCACAGTATTTTTTCCATCCCATTCCATTTGTTTACAACAAATGGTATTAGACAACTAGTTCTCCATTCACAAAAGCAAAGGTCCTCAACCTATGTTTAAGCTATATACAAAAGTAAACGAAAATTGAATCCCAGATCTAAGTGTAAAACCTAAAACAATAAAACTTTTAGAAGTATCTCCTTGTTAAGATTTATTCGATGAAACCAACAGCATAATCCACAAAAAAGATAAAATTAATAAACTGAGGTCAAATTTTAAGATTTCTACTTATCAAAACACACTTAAGAAAATAAAAAGCTATGGACTAACAGCTCACTAAACTTAGCTGAATGAGAAGTTGTATCCCAAATATGTTAAGAATTCTCAAAAGTTACTGAAAACTTAAAATGGTTACACTATTTGAACAGATACTTCACTAATGATGTACGGATAGCAAATAAGCAAGTAAGATGGTCACCGTTAATCGTCATTAAGGACTTACTAATTAATTAAGACTGCCATTAAAAACCACCAAACACCTATCAGAAAGGTTAAACTCAAAAAGACTGACAATTCCAAGTGCTGAGAATGTGGAAAACCTGAGGGGGAGGGGGGGCCCGGGATGGGGGCTTGAAAATGATACAGCCATTTAAGAAAATAGTTTGGCACTTTCTCATAAATTTAAAACAAAACTTGCATATAACCTCCCATGCCACTTGAAGTGTTCACTTCACCTAAGCAAAATGAAAACATACATCCATACAATGTTCAATGCTCCCAGTGGCTTTACTCATTACTGGGATGCTGATAGCATCTCTGGGTCCTTCACCTGGTGAACAGACTACCAGTAGAGATTATAGAAGCAAGCTCAGCACTTGTTTTTCACCTCAGTAACACAGCTAGCAATCACTGAGGTCCTTCTCATTAGACAACTTTGAATCTACTTTGTAAATGATTTATATTCATAATGATTAAAGAAAGGTCACATAATGAACCCTAGCTTGCCCAAACTTCCTCCTACTCCAGTAAATTCTATCTGGACAAAGATTTTTGTCTCTTATTTGCTGACATATCCCAGCATTAAAACAGGCTCCACTAGATACCCAAAACTGGTAAAATGTAGTAACAATTATCACTTTAGTTTTTCATTGACTGAAGTTAAAGATTATCCACAACTGAAATTTGTTGTTTCAGGTGTTTTTTAATAAAAAGCATCTCAAACCTTTTCCCTTATTTAACTATCTAAAACAAAATACAAACTATTGCAGTAAGCCAAGATTTATTGGTTTTGTTTCATAAAGGACAAAATGCAGCTACTCATACACTAGAATTAGAAAGCCAGCTTTGTCTTTTTAATACCATACTAATTCTGATTCAAATTACATTAATTCCTCAAAGTGAGGTATAATCAACATTTAAAATTCTAACAATGTTTAAAACATGTTTTTTATTACATAAGAAAACAAAATAGCACTTTCAAGCACTAGAAAGTCATACTTCATGTTGTTATGACTATTAAAGATGTAATCCAAAGATGTCTTCATAATATACTGAATCATAATAAAATATTACTTCAAATTTATCATGGAAAGACAAAAAAGGATGTTTTAATTTCATGAAGAGGTTGAAGAGATTCCTCATTATTGTGAAAGGCACTAGCAGGTCAAAGTATGGTCTGCCTTTTCCACTCCCACTTAAATGAAACATCCACAATGTAAAATGCCAAGAGAGAAAGTAGAAAGGTGGCTGTCAGGGACTGGCGGAGTACCAAACGCAAAATTAATGAGTAAAAGTTTCAGCGTGAGAAGGTGAGAACAATCTGGAAATGAATAGTGGTAATAATTGAGGAACAAAGTGAATGTACTTAATGTCACAGAACTGTATAATTAAAAAGTTGGAATGGTAAATTTTATGTTATGTGGACTTTATCACAATTTTTTTTAATTACCTACTTTTTAATTACCCTCATTTACCAGATGGGGTTCAAAGTGGCATGATTTATCCAAGTTCACATAGCTATTTAATAACAAAGACAAAATTAATTTTTAATTCTATTTTCATTAACTACACTGTCTTTAAATTCATAGACCACAGTAAAGGTAAGAGATACTGCTAGAGACAGAGTGACTAAATGAAGATAAATGACCTATCACAAGATTGTTATACAGGAAAAATCTACAATTAAAATCAAGCCTAATGAAATGCTACTATATGCATATTCATGTCCTATTTCTATATCCATTTTACATCCTTCATTTTCCTTTCTTGCCTTTTTCTAATTTGCCCCTTTTATATATAAAATACGTATATTTTATATATCTTTTAATCCTTAAATCTTCTTTAAAGAAAAATGAGCTATATAAATGTATGACCACAATTATAAATAAGTAATAAAAACTAAGCTGAATTGTATCCTGAACACATGGCTTGCAAGAAGACGACACAGGGCATTCTACATTTTTTGTTAAAATACAGTGTTTTAAGGGCTCTCCCTGGAGATGCACCAGGTTAGGATACAGGACTGCAAGCTGGCAGCAACTGCTTCAGTGGGAGTTCGATCCCCAGCCCTGGAAATGACCACAGGGTATGGCAGACCTCTCCTGTCTTGCCCGCTACTCCCCTCAGCAGTGTACTTCATCGATCTACCTGTTCTGCTCCCCACTCTGTCTCTGGTGAAGCATCAAACCACCCCTGTGCCTGTGGCTGGTACCCCAGCTCTGTGTGAATAAATAAATCTTTAAAAAAAAAAAAACAAAAACAGTGTTTTAAAAGGTTAATTCCCCAGTGGCATAAGAGAAAGCTTTGTTATACTGAAATCTAAACAATGCAAGCCTGCCTACCTTTTTTTAGGCAGACTTCTGTGTCAGGACACTTTCCAAAATAATTACCTTGGAAACCATTTGGCATGTTCCATCCACGGATCATCTCCAGATTCCCAACACCTCAGTCCACCATCACAGCAAAAGCATTTGACATCATCATTACGACCTAAGCAGTTGAATACAAACCAATTCTAGTATGTAAATCAAAATTAACCAGATAAAACATACAGCTCTGTGTTAGCATGTTTCTTACCCACACAATAGAAGCCAGCACTTGCAAGTTGTTCAGGCCGAACTGGAACACTAGATGGCCAGTAGGTAAATGTTCTCAGTCGAGCTGCATGTGTTTGCATGCTCAAATTTGAAATGCTGTATCTTAGCATTCCTAGAGAATTTTCCAGAAATGGACAGTTGGGGAAATGTCTCCGGTGTTCTGACATAGCATCATCCTTCGGTTCCCAGTTACTTAGTGTCCCACCACAGGCGAAACAGGCAACCCTATCTCCAGGTCCTAGATAATAAAATCCAGCTCTGGCCAATTCTGATGGTGACAAAAACGTTAATGGCCACATATGATAAGTAAGAAATCTGGCTTCTTCAGTACTCATTGCATAACTGTAGGGGTTAGTCCTCACTGGGGAGAAGTCTTCAACTGTTCTAGAATTAATAGGGTTTAGGGAAAGATTGGAGTAAGAACCACTAGATGAGCCACTGTGTTCCAAAGTGGGAGATAACGAATGTGCAGAATTGGTTCTCACTAGAGAATTATTCTTAGAAGTGAAATCCAGATTAGTAACAGAAAGCAGATTCTGAATAAAGCTACAACTAGGATATAACTGTTTATGCTTTTCAATTGGATTGTCTCCTTGTTTCCAGTTATCCAGCATCAGGCCACAACAGAAGCATTTGACCTTGTCAATCACACCAGTGTAATAAAAACCTGCTCGAGCGAGACTCCTTTCTGAGACAGGAACACCAGCAGGGAAAGCTGAGTATGTAGACATTCTGTAGAGTTCACATGAAAAGTCGTATTTCATTTTCTGTTTGTTGTCATTTGTCCAATTTGACAAAAGTGTGCTATCTTCCATTATATTCTTAATTTTTTGACACGAAGAACCTAGGACAAGTCTTTGGGAGGTAGTTTTGTGCATGAGTGATTTTAGTTCTTGACAGCTAAAAAAACTTCACATGAAATTTCTTATTTTTTCACACTAGATTTTAACCACAAAACAGAATCAAGTGATAGGCTCCTACTTAAGTAAAACTGACTAAACCTACTTTTTCTGGATTCATGCTCCAGTTTACACTCAGGTGGGATCAATATCTCTCCTAAAATACCAAGAGAGTACTTAGTATTCCTTAGGATTATAGTGAGTCTTCTAGGTAATTCAAATGCTGGGTTTATTCATATCTGGTAAAATCCTATTCTAATGGCTGAAAAGAATTTGGTGTACTTCAAAAAGGTTTCTAACCCCTTTGAATTTTTAAAGGTTTAACTCTAAAGGATGATAAAATACCCAAATTGTGCCTTTTGCTTCTGGTTACAACCTACAGATATTAGACCAATTACTCATTATACACCAAGAAAAGATGTATATGCAAGCTTCTTTCTCTGCAAGCACTTGATATGAAAAAGTATGTTGTTTTACCCTAGTAAACAAGAATTAGTGTTCAGAGGGTCACACTGCCTACTGGCTAATGTCATCTACTGAAGTGGATTACATCAGCTTCAGTTAACAACTTTTGAGGATGTTAACACGACATCCACAAGCTTTGCTGAACTAAACAGCTGTTATAACTACATCAAATGAAACTAATTTTAAAGTTCACAAACTGCTAATTCTTCCATCTTTCTTAAATATTACCTGTTTCCATTTCCTACAGCATCATTATGTTGTCTTTCTTCCAAACTTTGCATACTACTTTATTATATTTCATCGATGGAAGCTATTATCTCTATAAACCAGTAATACATAAAAGCTCCACGGCAGAAACTTTATGCTGCATTTAAAAATTAAATAACCTACCTTTTACTTGAGGATCACAGATCTCTATTATTCATTTTATAACGAAAGAGCAATCAATATGTTGAACTACTGTTTGTCCTTTCTAATGCTATCACAAATAAATTACCAAAGGATTACAGTTTATGCATGACTAGCCCTATTAGCCTTCTTTCTGAAAACCCTTCAAATTTTAACAATATATTTCATATACAAAATTACAGTCCACAGAATCAAACTATATCCCTTTATAAAGTTCACGGTGTCCAAGTTGGGATTTATTACTGGGGGGGGGAGAGGAAGAAGAGGGAAGAAAGGTGAAAGCAGACTCTTCAGGGCTGCAGATCTGAAAGAAAAAAAAAAAAGCTGTAGTTCAGTTTACTCAATGTAATACGATTTACACTTTAGAACAACAAATCTTAATTCCAGCAATTTGTTACCCAAACTTTCTAACTGGAAAAGCTAAAACTAAAACAAATACAACCCATCACCTGTATACTAAATGACAGTTTTAAATGTACAAATTTTTTGGACAGATGGGCATATCCACATAAGAAAATGTTTTGTCTTTGGGTTCTTGCCCCTTTTCAGTGACTTTTAATAGTTTTAGGAAAATACCTCTAGTAATTTGCCAGAGGCAAAGGGGAACAGTAGGACATCTACACACTTCATCAGCTATAATAGCACAGCAGTAATAAAACTGCAACGTTATTTTTTATTATCCGATCTGCAGGACGAAGCACTGGCCAGTACCAGTAAAACGTTATCAGCAACTTAGTAACTAGACCCATAACCTCCACGTCCCCGCACATCATCAGAAAGCAAGTGGAAACAAAACACAGGACGGGGGTTTGTGCAACACTGGCCTCGGGCACGAACGTTTTCCTTCCACCAGGAATTGGCACCGCGACTGTCACGGATCGATTTTTATCTACGTGCGACGCCCCCGCGGATCCAGCCCGCTACAAACCGTAGCTGCACGGCTACGTAGCTTCCAAGAAGTAACGCCCAGGACCGTTTTTTCACACTTGTAAGCATTTTACCCGTCCGAGCGCAGCTGCTCGTGGGCACCCCTACCGATCTCGGGGCGGGGCACAGTGAGCTTCCCCCGCTTCGCGACAGTCCTCACCGCCCACCACGGACGCCCCCCGGAGGCCAAGGGGGGCGGGGGATGCTGCCGCCCGCGTCCACCAGGAATGAACGCCTAGAACTCCTCGAGCCCAGGCCAAGGCCAGGAAGCGGTCAGCCGCCAGGATGGCCCTGGACGGTGACTGTGGAAGACGCAGCTTCTGAGCCGTTTCCTCTGGGAGCCCCGCGCTCTAATTCGCGCTGCCGGCCCGGGACGCGGCGCACTCACCGCAGAGCCGGCGCGACCCACACGAAGCGGCCGGGGTTCGGCTCAGCCCCGAGCAGCAGCGCGACGCAGGTCCCACGCTCCGCCGGCCCCCGCCCCGCCGCGTCCAGGCCGACGCAAGGTGACGTCAGCGCGCCGGGCCTGGGTCGGGTGACGCTGCGTGGCGCCGGGGAGTCTGCGGCCGCGGAATGGGAAGCGGCGGCGATGCGGAACTTTGATGTGGACGCGGCGGTCGTAGCCTTTGAACGTGTCCTGCGCCCCTCACGCCCCAGAGAGGAGGCTGCGGACACGCCGCTGGACGGCTTCTCTGCCGCGTGGGCTGGCGTCACCTCGGACCTTCAGTCCCGTGGGAGCTCACTGCGGCGGCGGCAGCGGCGCACCGACGTTTTTTGCTTCAATAATCCACAGTTGTAGCGGTTTTTTGCAACGGCTCGCGGCCTCCAACTGCTGTGGCCATCTGGCTGCCGAGCGCAGCTGCGTGGCCCTGAAGCGCAGCAGATGGGCGTGGACGTGGAGGAAGCCGGCGTTGGAAGGAGCCCTAGAGTCAGACGCTCGGCATGCTGGGCTTGTGGGGGTTTGTCAGCTTCAATTAGCATCAAGTTGATCTTCGTTTGAGAGACGCTAAAGAATCCTCTGCCTGCGTCAGAGGATTGATTTGAAGGCTTGATTTTTATCATCTTCTAAGGATGGTGCCATTTTAGAGTCGACTCTTGTATCTTTTAAACTATGGGGTTTTTGTTTGGTAGATAAAGGCACTAGCAAGTGTGTTTTCATTGCCAACAGTCATCCCTGCGCGTATGAACGGGGGTCTCACGCCAAACTTCAGCCCTAGTTTTTGCATGTGACTAAAACGGAATGCGAATATTCATGTGCGTGTATATTTAATCGTAATATTTAATCGTAATGAACCACAGCCGCGCCCACTAAACAGTGACATTTTACGTAGTTAACTGATTGAAAGGTTATACAAGTAAAAATCTCGGTTTTACTAGTCGTGGACATTTTGTCTTCACCGCGGCTACTGCCGGGAGCAGTGACCTGTGGTAAATACTTGTATTGCGGCAAAAACACTTTGTCAATGAAATCAGATATTTGCTTCTCTCAGGGGAACTCCAGGGGACAAACATTTCAAAAACTTCCAAATAACAAACCACTTAATTAGGCAGCCAGGGGAATTCCAGGACCCTGAACCATTTCCCATTTCCTGCCACTGTCATTTCTGCCTGCCTGTCAGTTACAGAACTGGAGGTCTTCTGTCCTAAGATGAAGAGTAAAAAGAAAGTATTTGCAACCATTTGTGACACAAAGTAAAGAGATGCCAGGGCTCCCAATGACTAAACACTTCCAAATATGCACATTTGTCTTAGTACTATTTCAGTATTTAGTTCAAGACGTGATTTCTCAGAAAGTTAGAGAACTTCCCTAAGTAATATGTGGGAAAATGTATAGGTCAAGTGTCTATAACAAGAATTGTTCATTCTGAATTCAGGATTATTCTTTTTCATTTCTTGTCCTGACCAAAAAATTGTGTTTAGGGGGAAATTTTGATTTCCAAACTCAAGCCTGAGCTATTTCTCCCCCCAAAAAGCAATAATATTCAAGTATAATAAATATTAGTCATTAACTTATATAACATTGTTCTTTAGTGTTAAATTATTCCACGGCCCATTTATTCGTTTAACTTTTTTTCATATTTCCAGTTAGAGTTGCTGATGACTTTCAATAGTGTCTATATTGCTACCCAGGTTGCCCCCTAATATTTGTTGATATATTTACAGAAATAGACATTTACAGATCCAAGATAAATTTGAGGAAAAAAAAAAGAAGGCATTTGTGCTCCAAGGGAGTTATGTAATGAAGCTCTTTTAAAATAGGATTGTATTAACACAGGATGGCCAAAGGAACAAAATGAAAGAAACTTCCAAAATGCCATTCCTACTATACAATGACATCTTATTAATCAGAGAATTTAAACACCTTGTGTTATAATCCATTGCTGTTATTGTCATTATTTTTGTTTAAGTTGTTTGGCCCAAATGGAGCTTTTTTCACTGGCTTTTCAGTCCTTTTGAATAGTCTTTAATTACTGTCCATGCTGGTTTTGTACATTTCTTACCTATGCCTGTAATAAACCGCTTATTCCAATACCCCAGTTGCTTTAGTGAAACAAAGTAAGGTCCATAATCTAAATGTTAATGATGTTAAATGGCATTGAATTGTATTTCTTATAATTTGTTGCATGAACAGATCTTAGTAATATGCTTTTGTTTTTTGGGTTTTTTTTTTTTTTTAAGATTTATTCATACAGAACTGGGGTACAGGCCAGAGATGCGGAGGGTGAGAGGATTCACCAGAGACAGAGCCAGAGCAGAACAGGCAGATGGACGAAGTACACTGCTGAGGGGAGCAGCGGGCGGGTCAGGAGAGGTCTGCACACCATGTGGATCTCCTCCAGGGCAGGCGGGAATCGAACTCATGCGGAAGTGGCTTAAGCTTTTTAGTGCAGTGCTTTAACCCGCTGCGCCACCAGGAAGGGCCCCAATATGCTTTTGTTTTTTAATAAAATGTATCATGAAGTCTTAACTTCCAACTCAAATGTAAGAAATCAAGGTTTCATTTAACCTCATTATTCATACATCTGTAATTCCCTTCCTTCACATTAAAAGAAATTCCCATTCTTCCTTCTACTCCCTTCTACTTCCTTCTATGCCCAGTGATACTGTTTTAAATGTTTTATTGTTCCTTTTCAATGTTTTAAGTATAATTATTATGCACAATCGGATATAGTATACGCAGTACCATATCATAATATTACAGAATATGTGCAGACTAATTTGAAATGGGTTTTGGCCTAATAAAATATACAGGTTGCTATTTTCAATCATGACTTAAGTTTTGTTGCATCACCTCCATTCTTTATCAGCTTTATTAACAGTAACATCAACAAAGTGAACAATGAACTGTCATTATGCTGTCTCCATTCACACAGAAGCACTAAAAGGCACAGAGACATGAAGTAATTTGCCACATGGTACTTCGTTATAATTTGAACACACAAACTGCCCTTTTAATCCCTACGCTATACTGTCTTTCTTAAATTGCAGTGAATTTCCAACAAGATTATGTATATAGACACCAAGGTACATTTATTGGTACAAGTCCAATAAGCATCTGTTAGCTATTAAGATTATAATAATGCCAATATTTGACTTTTTAGAATGCTGTTTCCTAAATTGAAATGCTTTCATCATCCAAAGAATAGTACCAAGTACCATCTCTTACATGAATCTAATTTTAATTGGGTTGATTTTTCCTCGCCAAAAATTCCTTTAGCTATCTAAACAAGTATAGATTTTGGCTTATGATTTTCCATTAATGACTATGTCGTCTACTTTATCAACAGTGGTAATGAAGGAGGACTTTCTGTTCCCACCCCAGAAAGTCATTAATCAATTCATTAATAAGGGTCTATTCTATACCAGTCATGGTGCCAGGTGCTAGACACACTGGTGTATGAAGTACATGATTCTTGTCCCATGGAAATTTGGACAGCAGAATATGACATTAAATAAATATGTGAAAAGAAATTGTGACTCATTTTGTGAAGAAAAAAAAGCCAGTAGAAAGTTTAAGGGATATGATTTTGATGGAAAGTCAGACAAGTTCTCTGAGCTTCAAAGTAGTATCTAAACTGAGACCTTCAGAATGAGTTAAAAATGAGAGTGAACGAAAGAACATTCCAGCTAAAGACCGTGAAGCGAAAGTTTGTTGTGTTTAGAAACTGAAAAAATTTCAAGGTACCTGGGATAGTGTGAGCAATACGGAGAGTTGTAGAAATTGACACTGAAAATTACAACAGGGTAGGTCAGACACTGCTGAGAACAGGTAGATTGTGCAATTGGAGAAAAAACATTTGCACATTACAAACTCTGGAAATTAGACCTTGCCTAACTATTCCTGACAAAAGGGGTGTGAATGGGCATGGTCTTAAAAAGAATGAGTCATGCTGACTCAGTGAAATTCTTTGTTTCAAGGGTTATTAGTCTTGCTTCTAAAACAATGACTCTCTTAAACATCACATCTAATATATTCTTTGGAATTTACTTAGTAAATATCTACACTAGTACAATATGCAAGATGTCAAAAGGAAGTAATGACTGCTGAATGACACTGCCTGTGCCCACAAAGGAATTTACTGATTAATAGAAAAAGGAAATGAATAAAGAGTGGCAGGAATTTAAAACAAGCAAGCCTTAAATATGACATTAAGCCCACAGCAAAGTTCTGAGTTTTAACACTCACTACATGTTGTATATTGAGGTTTCCATTCTCTGATCAACTCAGAATTGAAGACCAGGTTGGATGGTAGGTAATGTTACAAAAAAAAAAAAAAAATCAAGTGAATTAAGGCATGTCAAGCACAAAAAAATTTTTAAATGTTGCCTGACATATTGTCAGCAATGGCTGTGAAGATAGCAGCACCCTAGCCAGTGGGCATCAGAGATGGAGGGTGGCTCAGGTTACAGAGAGAAAGAATTAAGTGGTGAAAACTTGGGGGACCAGTTCTTGTCATCGAGGTTGAGCTTCCCCAGTCCCAGAGGTCCAGCCCATCGCCTTACAGACCATCGCCTCATCTGAGGCTTCTGCCTTCATGTCTGTCTGCTTTCTTCAATTCTCCCTCCCTTTTGTTGCAGCTCAGACTTTGTTTCCCTAGCGGTTGTAGGGGATGGCAAGATACTCAAGAGCCCATCCCAAGTAACTTGCAACCACCGGCCAGATAAACAACTGTTTCACTGGCTGCATCTTATCTCTCCTCAAAGGGAACTGTCACCTTCACATCCACTGTGCCGAGACCTTTAGGCTCCAAAGGCCAACTGGGGAGAGTTAGAGTGGTCATTATAGCTATTAGAATCTTTTCAGTTTCAGAAACAGAAACCCCAATTCAATCTTTCTTAAACAAATGAACAAATTATTATAGTAAATTAGTTGGCTATATTAATTATATATTCCAAAAATGAGCAGGAGTTTTATAGCAGAGATGGAAAAGTTCAAATACTACATATAGTATAGCATAAAAACCAGCATCTAAGAGATGCAGCCAAAAGGGTACATACTATCTAAATATTTCTCCTACATCTGGTTAACAAACACCTAAACAATACTACATTTAAGTCAGCCTCCCATCCCAGAAAGACAATGGCTAGCAAACTGCTCAACACCTGAACCTTCTAAAAGAGACAAAATCAGTTGCATCCCAAAGAAATAGCCTTCCAGCATCGGAAAGAATACCTGGATTCTAACTCCACTTCCCTGCTCCTAATCGTCCTCTGCAGAACAGTAAGAGACATCTAGAATTGGTTCAGATGCCTGATCTTTGCCTGTCCTCCCAAAATAGTTTCCATTACATGTGTACTTCTGATCATAAATCTCTAACAAGACTAAAGGAGAAAAGGATAAAGAATTATGAATTGAGTATGTTGAGTACCAGAAAAGTAGTGGAGGAGGAAATTTTGCCACACTAACAGTACAGATTTATTTACCAAACAAGCTGTTGGTTGCAAGGGCTGCTAAGTCACAGCAGTAACACCAAAGTGGTGAGATATACAGGTTGCTATTTTCAATCATGACCTAAGGTCTGTTGTGTCACCCCCACTCTTGATCAGTTTTATTAACAGTAAATCAACAAAGTGAACAATGAGCTGTCACTGTGTTGTCTTCATTCACACAAAAGCACTAAAAAGCACAGAGACCTGAAATAATTTCCCAGGTGTTACTGGACAATAATTTGAACACACACAACCTGCCCTTTTAATCCCCATGCTATACTTACAGTGTCTTTCATAAATTGCAGTGAGTCTCAATTTATGCACCCCCTGAACAAAAAAACAAACTTACTGAAAAGATTATGATTTTATCTCAAATGTCCCACCTAATCCTACAGATTAAAGCCAGGTGAACTGACAACTATAAACAAAGAAGCAGTTTATTGAAAGGTATCAAACCCCTAATTCAATGTTGAGGTTTTAAGAAGTATGAAAGAAACCTTCTACCAACTAAATTATTTGATATCATAGAAATAAACATATTAAAAACAAAAGTGCTATTGATCGCTTTATTAAAAAATGTTCCATAGAATTCTTACAAAAACACTGTGTCCATAAAAAGTCACTAAAAATATCCAGGCATATTATTATTGGGCACTGATGGAAAAAAAGCAGAAATTCTGTGTTCCAGATTCTTAATATTCTTAATATTCTTAACGCCCAAAATAGGGAAAGTTCTGAAAGGTTAACTCAAAAACGTTAAATTTTATTTACAATTTCATTAGTGCCGACATTTTGATTTAGTATTGTGCTTGTAGTGATATCCCTATTTTGTTTGCAAGAATAAAAGCCTATCATTCTCTTAGTATTTCTATTTCATGTTTTAGATACATATATAAATATATTTACATAAAATTTTCAGAATTACAAATAAATTAAAAATCTTAAAGAAACCAAATCAGTATAAAAATTAAAATTACATTCGATCCATTAATTTTAAAGTTTAGAACAAAGTTTAGACTTCATCATGAAAGAAATGTACGAACTGTACCCTTGATTGTCCCTCTACAAATAGGACATTTTCTTAGAGAAGGGGCACAATCCTTGCAAACTACCAGGTGACCACACGGAATGAACACTATGGACACTTCTTTGTCCATACACACTTTACATGTCCTTTCTTCTTGTAGTCGCCTCAATTGTTCTTCCATTGATAGATCTAACAAGAGAAGAGAACTTTTAATAAAAGGCAATTTGCTACTTCTTCAATGAAATTCCAAGAAAATAAAAAATACTTTTCTACTGGTTTAAATTATCAGTACTATTTTACCTGAAACATCTTCTGTGGGAATATACTTTATGTCCCGTTCAACTAGAGAGAAAAGGAAAAAAGATTACTCTGACAAAAAAGGTTAATGTTTAGTCACATGTTGCATACTTTTGAACTGAGTTTAGACTCTAGCCAAATACTATATATTACAGGTTTAATGTCAAAGCAATAAAAGTCTTTGAACTAAATTACTTTCAATAATTCAAAAATTATCAATAAAAGCATATTTTCAATGCACCTAGGAAGTTCCCAGGATACATTTCCAGTACTCACCAAATAAATGCTTGTATAATGTGGAGTCTGTTTCTTGAAGAGTATTTTTGAATATGGTCGCTGCAAAGTTTCCTTTGACTAAAATAGTATCAATCACTTCTCTTGCTTGTAACGATATCTGTGTTTTCTGTCTAATAACATAATGTTCTTGTTCACTAATCACCCTGGCAGTTAGTAGGCTATCCAGGATTGGAAGCACACATGTCAAATGTTGGAAAAGTGCCATTCTGTTCTTCCGAATTAATAACAGATCATCTTGAAATAAAAGAAAACAAACAAGCTCAAATTCTGTTCACAAACTTCCTTCCACATTGACACGTATAGTTGAATGAAAACAACATTCATAATCAGAAAGCAATGACTAACTTTTAAGACAATTAATAATGTTCCTGATCTCTGGGGTCCATAATAGCACTACAAATGATGAGGACAAACACTGAGCACTGTGGTAAATACTTCATATGTGTTAACTAATTTCACCTTCACATCAGTACTTTGAAGTGGGTATTACTACTCTTATTAACACTGAGGAAATATGGACACTGGAAAGCAGGTAAGTTCTGAATCAAATAGTCAAAGGGAGGTAGGCAATGCTAGATTATGTGTTCTCAAGCATTCTGCAGTACTGCTAAATCCCTAACCAAGTAAAATTTAGAATCTAATAAAATTACTTTGCAATCTAATCAAATTGGGGAAAGGTAAGATCAATGAATTAAAAGGATAAAACATTGTTTTCTTAAGTTAGCATTCAAATAAAATTTTCTTAAAATTTCATTTTAGGATGAACTTTTCATTATTTCCCCATATTAGACATGATATAGCCATTACCTAGTATCTTACTGTAAGAGGGAAAGGCATTAGTGACATTTTGAAAAATAAATCCAAATTGTCAGTGATAACTTCCTGTCCTACTGGATCTTTACAATCTCCTTCAAGACCTAGATTTTGTACCTACTGGAAAAATATTTTATATCTTGTTATATGTAGATATATTTTTAATTCTGTAGGTTTTGTTATCTCCTTGGAAAATGGCTTACGAATTTAATTATCACATAGTTTTACTGTGACCTACATAGCTATTTCCATAAGATAATGACAAAAATTAAGCTATCTAAGCAATTTTTAGGGGGAGAAGATTTTTTTAAGGGAAGATAATTGACTCTTTCAAGTAAAAGGACACAAATAGAACCATCTATAAAAATAAAAATTATTGCTTAGTCAAGCCAATGAATATGATAATGAGGCTGAGAAAATAAGGAATCTTTGATAATGCAGATTATTATATATATTGACTTCCAGTCATCTCTGAGACTGTTGGTTTTCTTTAGAGGAAATATAAGTATTTTCTATCTAGAGAGCTTTAGACTTTGTAGAGTGTATAAATAACTGTGCAGGTGAGCATTTGAGTAATTGCTGTCTGATGACCAACAGCTAAGTCTGAGAAAACCAGATATACATATGTGGTCTGACCTTCACAGCAGAAAAGAAAACTTGACTGGGCTAAGCAAAGATGCACTTAAACTGTGTTGCTTCTCTGCTGTGTGTGTAGAACTGAGTAACACACACTCTGGTAAGTACAGGATGCTTATTCCTATAGCCAGACAGGGGGTGGCTGTAAGATAGACTCAGTTTCATGGCTAGCAGCAGGTATATCCAAAAATGGAGTGGCCAATATCACTGTCAATAGTGCTGGGAAGAAATGAATCACAGAAAGCCTTGGACAAGGATTAAGAGTAAGGAGAAAATGTTTTGCTTTTTCAATACTTTGTGGACAATTAGGTGTCTGAGTTTTGATGAGGAAAAACTTGCCTGGGACTTTAGTCATATGTGTAAACTGGCCGGGACTCCACAGACAACCAGAAGGCAGACAGATTGATGAGCAGAGCTTAGGAACACCAAGAGATGCCACATACAGTTGTCAACTGCCATCTGTGATCAAGGTCTCTCTTCCGTTATCCCTCACTCTACATGAAAGTGTGCTGAAAGTTGCAGCCTGTTTTCGGCTTTGTTAAAAGGACATAAGGGTCTGATCCAGACTTGGGAAAAGATCCACATTTTTCTGTCTAGATCAGTGTTGATAATGGTCAGAAGATCCAGAAGAGAATGCACATGCTTAGAGGAAGAGAGATTTTTGTGATGGGCAAGAAAGTAGCAGACAAGGCCACGTACACAGGACATGGGTAACCTGTCTGAGAGCATATGAAATGGTATCCAAGGACTCACTTAAATAACAGAAGGGGATATCAGTTCTTATGTGGCCAGGGAAGGAACTTAATCATAATTTGTACCTTAATTTACAGTCATAAGCTGAGACATACTGTGATGCTAATATTACAATTAGGGACAATTAAGAACATTTAGGGGCAATCCCACCCCAATTTGAGTAAGTAGGGGTGAGCCACTAGCCTGGGTCAAAAATGGGCTGTAAGTAACAGCCAATACTCAACATATGCATTTTTACTTTACTAAGCAATTAAGATGAAAAAGGACATTTTTCAGAATTCAATATCAGAATACTGAATATAAGAAAAATCTGACTCAATTGACTCTTGAGTGTTTTAGTAATTTATATACAGTAACTACATACTTTTGGAAACCAACCACAGTCATGTATGTACCTGATTCTTTTTCTTCAGTTGCTCTTTCTTTCTCCTCTTCTCTTATCTCGTCTTCTGCATTAAGTAAATCTAATACAAGATCACTGACAGTTTTGTAATTCTCTCCAGCTGTCAGGATTTTACTCTGAACTGTCAGTTTGACCAGTTTTCTGCTGAAGCCCATTTCCAGGGCAGCTTTCACCACAGGTGTGTTCATAATGACTGCATCTTCTGCATGGTTCTCATCAGGCCCAAAATGGATAACTACATGGGTGAGTAATTTAAAATATATTATCACTCCCTGTGTATTTTTTCTAATTTAAAGTTATTACATTATAAATACATTAAGTCCCCAAAAAGGATAGGCACTATTTTAAATTAACTTTTTGAATTTGAAACAATATACATGTTCTTCAAACTCAAAAATAATAATGATATACAGAGTCCCTAAAATAAAACTATGCAATATTGGATTCATACAAAATATGTATTATCTTGCATAACTACAAGTGGGAGGAAGAAGCAAAAAGTTGGAGATCACCCCAACCAAAACTGAATCTTCTTCCTTGTGTTGCCAGTACAAATAAGCTTTCAAAATCAACTGTTTCACAGATTTTTGAAAGAGGCCACTGTTATCACATACTTCCATTACTTCAACAGCCTCCTACAGTACTTCTCCCTTCTAATTCTCAACATTACAACCACAGTGACTTTTTAACCATAAAAATAGCTGTGTCATACTCATAGTCCATCAACAACTTCCATGTTTTTATGATAAAAGCCAATATACAATGCCACTTATAAGATCTCACTCAGTCTGGATCCTGTTCATCTGTGCAGTTTCATCTACTGCCACTAATTCATCTGCCTTCTAGCCTAAGGTCACCAACTGACAGCTCTTGGCTCAAGTTTTGCCTGCACCCTGACCCCTCTTGCACTGGGCCTACTTCATTCATTCCTGCATCTGGTCAAACAGAATTTTGATGAGTTCTTCAAATTTGTCTGTTCTTCTTTGTGACATCAAGTCTTTCACGTGTTGTGCTCTCTTCTGGGGTATTCTTTTCCTCCCTTAGTCACTTGGTTAATGCCTACTTTACCCTTTGATTCTGTGCTAAGACAGATACTTGCTTTGGAAAGCCTTTTCTGATCTTCCAAGTCTGAGGTGACAGTCCCTCACGCACTCTTCTCACACACTTCACTTTGCCTGTCATCTCCACTTCTCTTAGCTGTCGTTTTATCTGTGTCCCTTAGACTATAGCAGACGAGAGAAAGTTATGTTGGCATTGTCCCCTATTGTCTTCAAAGAACGGCAGATAGACAATAAATTAGATTGAAGTGAAACCTGGGAATGGAGTAAAGAGCTTGTTTAAGTACTGGCTCTATCGCCTTTAGGTATAAGGTGATAGGAAGATCACTTAACTCCTATGAGTCTCAGGATCCCTCATAAAGAATGGGAATACCACACTTCCTACCCCGTGTTATAAAACAGTATGTAGCTCCATGCATCTGTTCCCACATTGGTATGAGAACAAAGGTTAGCCTGGATGTTAGTAATTTGTTAAAACTATAGATATTCAAGCCCTACTCTTAAATAGAACTCTGATTTAATTCAGTAAGTTTGAAGCACAAATCTGTAATAATTTTTTCAAAGATATATTTATATATGTATGTAAACAAGAATTGAGGTGTAGGCCAGAGGTGCGAGAGAGTGAGCAGGAGCAGAATAGGTAGGTAGACTGAAATCCACTCCTGAAGGGAGCAGCAGAGGTCTGAAGGTGAGACAGGAGAGGTCTGCCACACCATGTGGGTCACCTCCCTGGCCGGGGATTGAATTTGTGCTGCAGTGGCTGTGGATAGTTTCCAGAGAGGCCCTAAATCTATAATGTTTTTTAAATTACTTCAGGCAATTATAATCTACACCAAGGTTTGAGAAATACCAACTTAAAATATTGAAAATACTCTGTAAATTGTAAGTCAGTATTACCATTTGTACATATATGTTTACAATGTACATTATTATCAACTTTCAATCTTAACAGTATCACACAGTTCTATTTTAATGCGGTAATTACAACTATTATACATACTTGGTGACTCGACATTTTCATCTTCTGGGTTTTCTGAAGTAGATAATAGCTACAGGGGGTAAGAAGAGCATGTAAGTTAAAATATAAATCTTCTGAAAACTCATTTCAAAAAGTTATTTTGAATATTTTATCATTAAGAAATATTGAAAAACATTCCAGTCATTGCAATAACAAAGTCAAAAGAACAATTTTGTTCAATATTTTACAAACTGACTTAATTACTGGCAAAATATTTTAATGTCAACAGCTGTATTTATATTTAATAGCAATTGAGAGGCCATAAAATAATACAGTTGCTCTGTATATAGGTGTTAAAAAAATTCATTTTCATCAAAGCAAGAAAAGGGCTACATCTTTTCAATGACCTGTGAAACATTCATTACTTATCTTTTATCCCCAAAATCTTACCTATCCTAGGTCATCCTCTGGAATAAGCTGGACCACATGTCAGTTCTACTAACTATGGTTAGGAAATGATTGATACACAATTATTACCGAAATTCCTATTTGCCTTTACAGATTAGAAAACAAATTTCTCTTTCTAAAATCTTAAGAAAACTTATCTAATAAAGCTATTCAAGGTTTTATCCCAGATAATTTTATTCCTCAAATAATTTAAATTATCACAAATTAGAAACATAAGTTAAACATTATTTCCCAGGAGGCATCTAATTCTTGGTCTGTTTTTATACAAAATACTTCAAAGATCATGTTGGGTGTTAAAAAGGAAAATATAATTTCACAGAAACTCATAGCTCTCTGCCAAAATATTATTCTGTATCAGAAAGGAGCTAAACTGTTATGACCCAGTAATCTTAAAAACTGGTCCTACCTGTTCAAGGAGATGAGGGTAATTGGCTTGAACCCGACTAGTGAACTCCTGTCCTTTAACTTGTATCAAGAACTCACACCTTAAAAGCAAAGTTAAATTGGAGGGTTACTATAGTCCAGTTACCTACAGACTGCTAAATATTTCAAATAAACATGAATTTACACATAACCATATGGGAGAAGTTCAGAGATTTGGCCTCAGAGGCTGGGGGACAAACAGGACCCCTACAATGGGTTATCTGCCAAGGTTCAGGTCCACAGGGGTCACACACTGAGCTCCCAGTTGCTCTCCTCAACTATTCTAAGATTCCTAAAAATGATAAGGTAGCTGTAGCCCTAATTGTATTGGTGGGGCCCGTGGAGGGGCTTGCTGGTAGACAACAGAGCGCCCCAGAATGCTATAAGTGGGGTAAAGCCATGGAAAAAGTAGAAAAGGGAGCTAGCTGCGCACACAAGCAAGAGGAGAGAGAAGTTGCGCAGATGTGTGAGAGTGCGAGGGAAGCTGAATAGCAGCTGCAAGGAGACACCGAGAGACGCTGAGCAGTATACTGACAGCGGCTTCTGGGCTTCTCCAGCGCTGGGGCTTTGAGGCACCAGAGAGTTCAGCCTTGGCTGAGTAGTCATTTTGGAAAAGTTTTGTTAGGCCTGCTGGAGACGGGAAAAAATAGGCATCTTGTTGAAGTGTGGCCTGGTGAAGACAGGAGAGCTGGGAACAGGCATCTTGCTAAAATGCGTGAGTGTGGCTGCTTGTCCAGTACTTTGGCTGCTACAGTATCGCTTGTCTGGTGATGTGCTGGGGCATCTGAGCAGCCCCAGGAGCATCTCCTGTTGTATCTTTTGCTGTGTTTGTGAATCTGATCCGGCTTATAGTTTGACTGCTGAGTGTAATTGAGAGGGGGGCAGGAAGACGTCATCTTAGACAAGAGGCAAATTTCAAGAGCGGAGCTGCACATCCTCAGGGCGGGAAGAGGCCATCATTATAATGCCTTTGTGCAGGACTGGACAGTACTGGACACGACTTTGGGTAAAGTAAATGGCCGTTATTGGCCTCTTGTTTTTCCAGTTTGTTAAATAAATGTCTTTGTTGTTATTTTCTAACCCTGAGATGTCTTGCAGTTGTGTGCACAGGTGCAGAACCCAGAGAGTAATGGGGAAAGTATTTGGACAGAGGGACTTGACCAGTTTAGTCTCCCTGCCAATCTATATCAAAAACACTCTGAATGTTAAAAACAGAACCAAGGAGACAGGTAGAAAGCTCTTCCATAAATTGTACTGTTCATACATAAGCTTTACATACTTCAAAGCTAAAAGTATACAAAGAAGAGACAAGAGAGAAAGGAGGAGGAAGCTGAACACTTTTTCTACTAAGTCAGATATCCACAGTGTCTCGATAAGGTACATTCACTGTAGTACAAATTTAATTAATGACACTACCAAAGCAAATTTGCCATTCTTTTTATACAGGCACAAAATTACCATCATGGAACGCTAGTAGTACTTTTGAAAAATGCCTATATATGTGTTCTTCATAGTCTTATAATTTTTAAAATTTGTAATATTTGGAGAGCACAAAGTTTCTATAAATAAGTACTGTATAATAATACACATATAATGAAAGTAAATTAGGATACCAACTTCAGTAATCAACATTAAAAATACTAAAATGTGGCCCTCCCTGGTAGAACAACAGGTAAGGAAGCAGCCCTGCAAGCTAGCCAGCTGCTTCAGTGCGAGTTTGATCCCCAGTCCCAGAGGTGACCCTCATGGCACAGCAGACCTTTCCTGACCCGTCTGCTATTCCCCTCAGCAGTGTACTCCATCAATCTGCTTCTTCTGCTCCCCACTCTGTCTCTGGTGAATACTCTCACTCCCTGCACCTCTGGCCTGTACCCCAGTTCTGAATGCATAAATAAATAAATCTTTCTAAAAAATACTAAATTTTTTTATTATAAAAAGTGTGACCTGATTTAGATAAGACTGTAAAGAAATGTGGACTAATCAAAACTGCAAGATATGATAATAAAATGCCATGTAGTGATATGAGTTGGATCATGATCAGGTCATCTGGTTTAACGTTGCAGTCTGCCAGGTGCTTCTAATTTTCTTACCCTTTTTTCTTTTTATCCATAGCACTTATTATCTTCCAACATGCTACATAAGTTATTTCTTACATGTTCATCAATGTTCTGTATTTTCCTGCTATAAAATTAGGACATATGGCCAGGGGTCTAGGTTTTGTTCAACTGAGTAGTTCAAGCAACTACAACAGTGCCTGATAATAAGTGATCAATTGACATTACTGAATGTTGCGTGAATGGATATATGTCTGAGATATAATCGATAGGATAAAATAATTTAAAATGGACAAGATATAATTATTTAAAAAGTTTTAAAACTGTATATGTAATATCTTATGTAAAACCATACACATTTATATATATATGTATATATATATAAAGAGATGTCTGCAGGGATATTCACTAGAAAGGTAGCTGTGGTCATCTAATTTGAGTGGTAGATTTCTGGACATTTAAATGCTTTTCTGTGTACTTTTCTGCAATGTATCATTTTGATTTTATAATAAGCATATAATATTTCAAAATACATTGATAATACATCCATTATATTCAAATGCCCAAAATTCTCAAACCTATTTCTTCTGAATTTCAAAATAATTACCTTGGAAACCATTTGGCATGTTGCACCCATGGGTCATCTCCAGATTCCCAACACCTCAGTCCACCATCACAGCAAAAGCACTTGACATCATCACTGTGACCTAAAATTAATTTTGAACCAAAACTTACAAAAATGCATATAATCTGGCCACTAAAAATGCATTAAGATAAATATACTGAGTATCTTATTAACAGATTAAGTCACTTACCTGTATAATAAAAGCCGGCACTTGCAAGCTGCTCAGGGTGAACTGGAGCATTAGAGGGCCAGTTATAGAATGTTTTCATGCGGGCTGCCTGTGTCTGCATGCTCAGGTTAGAGACAATGTATGGTAAAGTCTCTTGAAACTGATTTTCTACAAATGGGCAGTTGGGGAAATGTCTCAGGTGTTCTGACTTGGCATCATCCTTTGGTTCCCAGTTGCTCAACTTCCCACCACAAGCAAAGCAGGCCACTCTATCTCCAGGGCCGATGTAATAAAATCCTGCTTTTGCCAGATCTGCTGGTGACAGAAAAGACAAGGGCCACATCTGGAAAGTAAGCAATCTGGCCTTTTCAGTATTCATTACACCGTGGTGGAGATCTTGATTCGGTCCGGAGATTACAGATGTGGATGGAAAGCTTGAATAAGAACCACTGAAATATCCAGCGTTTTGCAAACTTGGAAGTAATGAATGTGTAGAATGTGTTACTGAAGGAGAAGAAGGCTGAGAGATGGCTCCCAACATGTGAGGCGAATTCAGATTCTGAACGAAGCTACAGCTAGGATACAACTTTTTATGCTTTTCAATAGGACTGTCTCCTTGTTTCCAGTTGTCCAGCATCAGGCCACAACAGAAGCATTTGACCTTGTCATTCACTCCAGTATAATAAAAACCTGCCCGAGCAAGCCTCCTTTCTGAAACAGGAATACCAGCAGGGAAAGTTGAATATGTGGACATGCGGTACAGTTCACAAGAGAAATCGTATTTCAATTCAAATGTGTTAGCACTTTTCATCAAGTTTGATAAAAATTCACTTTTTTCTACTATGTTCATAATGAAACAGATGGGGAGGAAAAGGGACTAGCCTTTCTCTAGGGAGGTAGTTTTGTGCACGGCTTATGGTTCATTCGTCTTAGTACTCGTCAAATACCTAGAACTGGAGTTCTTTTGTTCTTTTCACTTGTAGGCATTTAGGGTTTCTGCATTGTGAGGTCCTAAGTCATATACTGATATGTTTTAAGGGACAGTTATACATGAAAATTCAATCTTTGTATAATCTTTACACATGCAATGTAATCAACTACCTTGTGATGAAAATCAAAACATTTCCTGGAAGTGTCAGGTGCTGAGGTCATCGAGATGTCATTCAGTGTTGCCTTCCCTAGCCACTAGAGAGCTTGACTGGCAAGCACCAAACTGAAGATAACATGTCTGACTCACATGACTCAGGTGGAAAACAGTATTCTATGAATGTTCTGCAGAAACTGTAGAAAAATATTCAAACTGTTTATTTTGCTTTTTGGAAATTGTGAAATTTGGTAGACAGAAAACACCCTCCAAAAATGAAAAGAATGCATTTTTACATTTCACTACATCAAAGGTGTTTGTTTTAACATCGCTGATTTGCAGAAGTATCTTAGAATTAATAGCATTTGCAGCATATTTGTTTCTGAGTGGTACATAAGTTAAGTCTCTCTGTCAGTTGATGACATCTTTGATGCAATTAAATATAATATACCCTAAGTCTTTCTCAAATTAAATTTTTCTTTCTACAGTCATTTTAACAGGGGGAACAAAAAGTTGAATTTTTCCTCAAATAAAAAGATCAAATTGTAATAGAGTTGGCTGATACATTCTTAGGCCTACTTTCAAGATTTATCAAGCAATAATTACTTCCCAAAGAGACTCAAGAACCTGGTAACTCAGGCACAGTGATACCATTAGACCTTAGCAAGTTAAGCATTCTATTTTAGGTAAGTGATCAGAGATTAGTATATTTGCTCTGTTCTTTTAGGTTCTGCTTCATGCTGTTTTGATTAGAGCCAACATCAAGTCTTCTGCTTTGAAAATGCATATAATATTAAAAATAGTCAAAAGAGTTCTGAGGTTATAGGCTAAGATGGGTAATCAAGTTGCACAAATTTGGCTTGAGTCAAAAAATTTTCACAGGTAAAATACCTTAAACCAAACTTTATCATGACAAACACTACTAGTAAATTTACTCTGTCACAATCCACTCCTTTAAAACAGCAGGGCCATTATCAAAATTTAGAATTTCTCAAGTATTACTAGCTAGGAGTGAATGGGCTATGACCAAGAAATAAGTTATGTGGGTTGGTTTTTGTTTTCTTTTTCTATAAGTATGCCTTCTTGCGCCCCACTGAGGGGAGGGCTTAACTACTGTAAGCTGTATTTCCAGGTGGCATCATGATTATTAAACTTGCAAATGGTAGCTAACGTATCTGACTTCAGTATTCCTTTCCTTGGCAGTAATTTTTCACACTGTTAGAAAACTTCTGTCTCCTTATAAGTATGTTCATTTACCAAAATGTAGCCACCCAGCCATCATTCTCAAGAGAAGATAATCCATTTGAACAAACTAAATTGTATGCTTTAATAAGATCCAGTCTTATGAGTGGTTAATTTCTTCACCAATCATCATGTTTATCTTTCCTACTTTCTCTAAACTTCTTGTAACCATCAAAGAATTTTGTTCTTAACATTCCTTTGTTATTGTAGAAACCTTCTAACATGTCAAAGGTCTTATTTGCATATTTCTCTAATTTGGCCCAGGGCTGAATATTAAATCTTTGTTCTAAACAACTGTCACTCATTTTAAATTTTTCACCAAACACAGGCACTTTTTCTATTCTACACAGTTTCAGAAGGAGACGTCAGCTTTGAATAGTGCATAAACACTTTGCCTCAGCTACAGTCACTTTTCTTCGACACCCACAAGTGAAATTAAAAATCCAATTCAGAAGTTACACCTAATAAAAATACACTGTATTTTTTAAACTAACACTTTTGGATATCAAAAACTACAGTTACCTACTTAATTTGTTTATTCATGCACAAAACTACCTCCCGGAGAGTAGACTAGGTCCCTTTTAAAGGATTTAGGCCTCCATTTTTAGATGGTTTGATTTATAGAAAGAAAAGGAAAAAATCTATAAGTAGAACAGTTCACGTCTTCTGTAAAACCTGTAAAAAAAAAAGAAAATGTTAAAAAATCAAAATAACCCATAAATGTAACACAATGACCTTTTAAAAAACATTTATTTTTCTAGAACAGAGCATTGGTATTTACTGGAAACTGCCGGTGGTCAAGAAATCCCACAAAGAAGCCTGAGGTTTCTTTCCAACTAGTAGGAGAGGTGCTACGGTTTATAGCACAGAAATGGACTATAGCATTTTGCTAATTTTTTAACATTTTTATTTTGAACTCAAAAAATTAATGTGCAAATCTTAAAATAAAAATACAATGAAATGACAGAGTTCCTCTGTACTCAGCATTCAACTTCCCCAAAGTCACATCTTACATAACAATAGCACAATTACAGGAACCAGGAAATTAACACTGATGCCATGTTTGCAATTAATTCTACCCACCTTCTTTGCATTTCACTGGTTTTCCAAAGACAGTTTACTAACTGACAACAGTTTAAGGAGATTCCTTATAACATTCTAAATTTCAAGCTTCTCTTTAAAAACTTAGAAGATCTGGCAATAGTGGGTGCTAACAACCTGCTACCACCCTGTGGAGGCCCTGCCCTTCAAGGAGGGTGTGTGCTCTCCAGCTGGCACTGAACTTTGACTCCCCAGTAGAAAGACTAAGAACTAACTGTCACTGAGTCGTTGGCACAATTATTTTGTTTAAGTAGAGTTCTGAAGAACATGAATCTGCTCTGATATTTCTGTTCTACCAAAAGCAACAAAAATGAAAGAAAAAGGACACGTTCTGGAAAAAAAAAAAAGAGTGAGAGCACTATTCTTCTTTGTGTGAGAATATTTACATGTTAAATATGTAAACAAAATATGTTTCTGTTTAAAGAAACGCAGCAGTGTCCATTTTTACCACCTGCCTGGCCTCTGGGCAGCTGAGTTTGTAAATTCTTATACAGGTGTTCCCTAGAGATGAGGTAACAAGGCATATGTTTGTGAAAATTTAGGCAACAGTCATACAAAAATATTCCCAGATATACCCAGATGCCAACACCAGGTCAATTCAAACCCAGCCTTAACCATTTCAACATGGAGACTTCCAGAGGCTGCTGTCAGGCCCCTCTGCAGGACTCCTGCTCCACCTGGACTGCAATTCAACTCACCCTGTGGGGCCCCTCACCCACTGTGCCACCCCACACTTCGAAACCTCCAGCACCATCCTCAAATTTGTCCCATCACTCGCAGCTCACTTTCAGTAGATTGCCTTGCCTTCCATTAAAAAAACAAAGGCATCACTGAGCAGTTATCCCTTTTTACATTCTTCTCATAGCTATGCCCTTTTCCATCCCAACTGCCTCCTGATTTTCTCCCACTGCTTGAGATATGTTGCGCTTAACCCTGCTGCCTCATTTCTTCAACTCTCATTCTCCATAAGCTCATCTCTTTCAACTTTCAAATTAAAAAAAAAAATCCTCCTTAGGCCTCATCTTCACAACTATCCCCTCTCTCACCCTCTCTTCACAGCCAAGCCACCTGAACGTGTGTCTGTGGTTAAGGTCTACCATTACAAATGTCTTTAGACAACACCATTTAAAACTATTCTTGATAGTAATAACCACCAATGGTTTCTTCATCAAAACCAATGGAAATGTTTTGTATCTGATCCCAGGGCCCACTTCCTCTTAAAAATCCTCCAGCCCGGATGGCTTCTCCCAATACCACTCAGAGGAATTCCTCTTTCCCTTCTGTAGTTGCTACTGGGAATAGCTCAAGCGCTCATTTTCTTTTATTGTATTCTTTCCAGTGGGCAGCCTCTCAAATCCCCCAGGAAGGGGGGTGGGGAAGAGCAAGTAAGTGAATCTTTCCTCCTAGACTGTGAGCACAGTCTAGACTCAGAACACAACTCAGTTTCAGCTCTGTAACGGCCCTCCGTTCCCTACCATGGGTCTGGGCTATGTTAATCTCCATAAACTTGCATCCTCTTTGGAGATAATTATAATAGTTGCTTAAAACTAAGAGAATCAAACCTGAGAAGACACGTGTAAAGCGTTCACAGGGGTCCCAGCAGATCATTGTTTTAGCAACACTCTATCTAAGCAATAAATAACAGCAGCGTCAATAATCGTTTCTTAGGCATCAATAAGTGCCTCTAGCAGTTTGCTAACTCAAGAGTACTGCGTAGTTTCTATGCTCATCACCAAAAGTATGACTTACTATCTGCCTTCTGTCACCACTTGGGCGTTCAGTAAATAAAAATGTTAATGAGTCTCCACAGTGCCAAACCTCTCCTGTAAGTTTGGTCCTGAAGCTGATTTGGCATCTTGCGCCACTGTAACCTTTGGCAATCAAATTCAACCAAGAACAAAGCTTCCCCATTACAACGGTTCGACCCAAATGCCAACTTAGCTAACGGGCAGCCAGCAGGAAGGCACCGTCCCAGGGTCCCCGACGAGCAGGAGACCCAAGTCGCTACAACAGGCGCTCAGGCACCTGCGCCGGGCCCGCGGGGCCCACTCCCGGTCCACCCCTAACCCACTCACTGGGCAGCCGTCCCGGAGCCTAGCCCTGGGGCCCAGGCGCTGTAGGGTTACCGTACCACCCGCTGCGCAGCGTCTCCGCCGCTGAGCCCGATCGTCCCCGAAGACCGCAGCCTCGGCTCCGACCCGCGTGACAGGTGTGTCGGGGGGAGGGGAGGGGGGGGCCTACGCACGCGCGGGCACGCACGAACATGCACGCGCACGCACCCGCATGCGCACGCGCACGCACCCGCACGCGCGCGCCCCCTCGCGGCCCTCAGGTCCCCAACGTGCTGCTCCCCGGCGGAGGCAGCCAGCGGGGAGGTGCCGACCTGGCTTGTAGGTGACACTGCCTCGCGCGCCTGGGAGGCCGCCGTGGTCTTTTGAACGCCGCGCTGCCCCTCCCCCTGGCAGCCCCGCCCCGCGCCGCCCCGCCCCGCGGCCGACCCCCAGAGTTCGCCTGTGCGCGGTGCTTTCCTCGTCATTTAGGGGAACTCCAGCGGCTGTAACCGCACACAGTAACCACACTCACTTCCCCTCCATCCGCGGCCGCCAGCCCACGCGGGGATTTCCAGTGCCCGGAAAGCCTGACCGGTTCTTCACTGTGGCGCTTACTGACAGCCTGGGCTCCACTGTAGGCTCAGAGGAAACCTTGATCACCTGTGAGAGAAGGTGGCAGTGGGTGCATCAGCCAGTCCAGACGAGCCAGCGCCACGTATTTTAAAACAGAAACGCCTGAACCTGGCGAAATCTTTGTGATTACTTTTACACTTTGTTATAAAGGAGATAGTAAGATATGAGTGGATAGGGAGGGGGTTACTCATACTGTTTTGAAGATTGATATTACCTTAATGTAGCTTCTTAGAGGAACATTTTGTTTGGAGGGGGGAGTGGTGGTTTTATGCCGAAGGTGGGGTTGGCTCTAAGAAAAAAAGTCCTCCTTATTTCTCACAGGGAAGGTCTCCAAGTTACAATGATATTCTTGTGGAAACCTGAAGCCTGAGCCTGACACCATTGCCCAATTTCTCTCTACTTTGCATATCCACACAGTAGATTTGAGCAATTTTATCTAGGACAATACATGTCAGGGTAACAGGTGGATTGTGAGAGTTCACCTGAGTCTTCTAAGACAGCACAGATATTCAAGAACCAAAGGCATTCTTCAAGTTTCATCATCTCAAACGCAGTGTTCCACTGGAATTACATCAAAATGACTGTATCTGTCAGTGGAGCTTTCAATACACATTGGAACCTGTTTAATTCAAAATTTTATAAGCCATTTTCAATTCACCTTTGAGGTGATTGAAAACATTTGTTGCCTTTATACCCTTGCGACCCACCAAAAAATTTTTAAAAACTGTATTCCCCTTCACACGTGTAACATTAAAGCATAACAGTTGTCATAGTTGCAGTGGAATGCATCTGTAACTATTTTTGGAAAAGAAAACATTAAGGACTCTTTTAAATGGATGACAAATGCATATAAACATTCCGTACCAGTTGTCATCTATTTAACAATATATAGGTTCATTTTTACTAATTGAAATTAACTGACATTGCCTTTGTCTCTTTAAAATTGAATATATTACACATGTAACATTGTGGGAGTATATAGCATGTTATTTTGATGCACATATATTATGGTTGTACGTAACAAATCTTAGTACAGGGTTATCTAGGCACACTATACTGTGCAGCAGATCTCTAAGGCTTATTCACTATTATAAATTTTAACCTTTAAACTCCTTGATTTGTCCCCACCTCCCCTCCTCCCCTGCTTAACACCATTTTACTCTCTGATTTTTACAGGTTTAACTCTTTCAGATGCCACATATAAATGCTATCATATGACTCCACACATGAATGATTGACTTCTCACTAGGAACAATGTGCTCAAGATCCATCCATGTTAGACTCTGAACATTCTACTTCCCCATGGATTTTTAAATGTATTACATTTTTTAAATAGCCCATAGAATTTTAACATAAGTTAATGATAGACATCTATAATATCATGCTGTCACATATTTCTGAAGCAAATATGTATATAAATTGAAATTTAATTTCCCCCTGTGACCATAGGGTAAAAATTTCTCCCTGATTGTATTATCTTTTATATTTCTTTTAATACTTAATATATAATTCATCAAAACATTAAATATATAAACATCATGTGAATGTAGATGAGTACTGTTGACCTCAAGCAAAAATAATGTTCCAACAAAGTGATTTTATTTGGAAACAGAACAGAAGAGAAACCCAGATTGGAGAGTGTGTTCATGCAACACCCTGTATACTTCCTGAATCCAAGGCTAACGCCCCCTGCAAGATCTGTGGAGGATCTTCTCAGTTCTGACAAAGATGAAAGCAGCATCAACCTAGTGGGCGATGCAAAGCATGTTGAGTCCTGTGTTTGCTGATTTGTGCATGTGTGGGCACTATCTGGCTCCAAACTTCATTTAAATAAGGTTTCTGTATTTAATACTCACAGTACTAAAAGAAAAAGTTGAAACTGAAACTTACTACAAACATTTTAAAATTTTATTTCATTGTTTTTATGTAAAAGACTGGGGTACAGGCCCTCCCAGGTGGAGCAGCGGGTTAAAGCACTGCACTAAGAAGCTTAAGCCACTTCCGCATGAGTTCGATTCCCGCCTGCCCCGGAAGAGATCCACATGGCGTGTCTGCCTTTTCTGGCCCGCCCGCTGCTCCCCTCAGCAGTGTACTTCATCGATCTGCCTGTTCGCTCCCCACTCTGTCCCTGGTGAATCCTCTCTGCATTTCTGGCCTGTACCCCAGTTCTGTATGAATAAATAAATCTTAAAAAAAAAAAAAGACTGGGGTACCGGCCAGAGGTGCAGGGTGAGAGGATTCACCAGAGACAGAGTGGGGCGAAGAACAGACAGATGTACTGAAACACACTGCTAAGGGGAGCAGCAGGTGAGACAGGAAAGGTCTGTTGCACCATGTGGGTCAGTTCATGCTGCAGTAGCTGCCAATATCTTCATAGAGCTGAGTCTTAACCCTTGTGCCTTCAGGGAGGCCCCAAATTCATTACAATTTTAATGAGGGCTGTAGTTTATATTTTAAGCAATTATGCCACCACTGTGTTCATGAATATTAACTTTTATTTTCCTCTCCAAGTCATTTCCCCAATTTGGGGATTTTTTTCAATACATATTTTATATTTTTATATCATTCTTCATTTTGTGCATTTTTCATCTCAGTTGTAATCCCCATGAGAAGCATGCACTGGACTATGGTGATGGCACATGGGTGAACTGGTGGTGGGAGGCCCATGGCATATATTAACTATTGATAAAACATGAGTGTTAAACATAAATTTTGCTCCTTTTTTCCCCTACAGATTATATATATTAAAAAACCTTGTTCACATAAACAGACCCAGAAGAAATGTTCACATTTCTGCCTTACATCTATTAAATCTGCCTTAAATCTATTAAATCATTTAGTAATCCTCGATGAAAAAAAGGAATTCCTTATGGGGTGAGGGAATGCAAGCTGATGACATAAACTCACCTCCTCTCATAGACACAACAAAGGTACAATACCATATAATTTGTGATCTGGAGAGAGTCTGAAGGGGTGGATCTTCTTCCTGGGGAGAGGAGACGTTGGTTCCCTATATCATGGAGCCCACTTTTCAATTCTGCACAGCAGAGCTAAGCTCCCAGCACTGAAAGCAGATGGGAAAAACACCCAAGAGATTCTAAAAACTGCAGGAACTGGGAATCTGCATTTAAAGGGTCTACAGGCAGATTCACTCACCCCTTGATCCAGCACAGTAACAGCCTGAATAGTGCCCCAATCAGAAGGAAAGAAACCCAGTTATTCACCACTCTTAGTGTCTGCCTGAGTGGTAGAAAGCTTTTGCTAAGCTCACTGGGCCAACACACTGGTGGGTGCTGTCCTAGCAACTTCAAGCAAACTTGCTGGAGTCACCATCTTAGAATCTCTCCCACCAGGCAATACACACTGTGGACAAGCCCCACAGACAGATCTACCCAATGTAAATGCCTACCACAGTCCAGCAACTGCAGCTACCCTGATGATCTGCCAGGATGAGCAAGGGACTTCACAGTGGTCATGCTCCATGGTTGGCACTGCCCATCATTCTGTGACCAGACATCACAATTGCATACTTTGACTATGCTCACCCACTGCACCATAGCCAGGTAAGATCAGCAGACCAACACACCCATGTCACACTTACACAGCAGGAGTATGAAGCACCTAGTTCAGGGGTTCATGGGTAACTGTGTTTCTGGATACAGGACAGCACCTGCACAAGAGCACTCACATGAGACCAGTAGAAGTTGTGGAGCTGAGAATAACAGAAGTAAGCACAGAGAGTCAGGGAAAATGGAGGCACAAAGGAATATGTCCCAAACAAATGCCTGAAAAATATCACAAAAGAAAGAGTTCAAAGTAATGGTTATGAAGATGCTCACCACATTCTTAGGAGAAGATTGGATGAACTAGAAAATTTAAGGAAGATGCAAACAGAAGTTACAGATCTGAAGAATACAACGACAGGATTAAAAACAATGCAATAGAGAGCTTCAATATCAGATTGATGACAGAGGAGCAGGTAAAGGAGCTGAAAATAAAAACAGAATTCATCCACAGAACAGCAGTGTGAAAAAAAAAATTTAAAGTGAAGATGCCTTCAGGAAGCTTTGGGACATTATTAAGATGAACAATATTCACATTACTGAAGTCCCAGAAGGAAAAGAAAGAGAGAAAAAGGACTAGAAAATTATTTGAGGAAATACAACCAAAAAACTTCCCTAATCTGGGGGAAGAAAACAGACACCCAGGTACAAGAAGTCCAGATGGTTCCAAATAAGAGAAGCTCAGGCATCTACAGAAAGCCACATTATAGTTAAAATTACAAAATGAAAGATAAAGGGAGTATCTTAAAAGCAGCAAATGGAAAGCAGCATATCAATAAAAGGGAAACAAAATAAAGCTACTGGCAGAATTTCCAACAGAAACTTCTAAGGCCAGAAAAAAGTGGCATGATGTCCTCAAAGTGCTGACAGTAAAGAGTTTCAGAATTCTTTACCAGGCAAGGTTAACATTCAGAATTGCAAGAGAGATTAAGAGTTTCCTGCATAGCAAAGGTTAAAAGAGTT